CATAAAAAAAACACCAACTAATACAAACTGGGAAGCTTATTTAAAACTAGAGGCTCAGTGCAAGAAATTCATGCACTGGGGAGGGGGGAGTCCTCTCAGCCCAGCCTGTGTTCTCTCACAGTTTGGGACCCCTTGGGGGATATTCAGCAGTTGGACATCCCTTTTGCAGTCCAGGATCTCTCTTGCAGCCGGGGACCCCTCACTCCTTACCGCTTGGCTAGCTATTCCTTAGCACTGCCTGGGAGGTGGGAGAGGTTCCTGCCACCGCCACTGTGCTCGGCAGCCATAAGCCCGGCTTCTGGCTGAGCGGTGCTCCAGCTGATTTGCATAGTAGGGTTTTATTATATAGGATTTGCAGCACAAAACAATATTGATCTTAGATTAAAAAGCACTTATGTATTTATAGTAGCCATTTCATCCCAACCAAGAATCTTATGGAATTTAGAGATATTGTTCCATATAGTGTATTTACGTGGCTAGCTCTACTTGTGTATGCTAAACTGTTTCACTAATATCATTAATTTATGTGATTACAAATATCTAAGTTTTTATGTTTGCAGAAATTTAAAGAGAATGTATCTAATTTTTAATTAAATTTTAGAATTAGGAAAGTTTAATGGATGGAGGGAAGACTAAACACAGGGAGGGGGAGGCTGTTTTCAGAAAGAAACCTAAATTAACAGAGCTAAAATTTCCATTGTCAAAAATCCTACCAATAAAGGTCCCTTTAGGTTTAGAACAGTTTGCATTTCTTAAAATAACCTAAGAAATGAAAAGACCCATATATGAAATTGAGCTCAGAACTGCAGATCAAAAAATATATAAATATATTGATCATTATATCCCACATATGAGTGAGATCATGGGATATTTATCTTTCTCCAACTGGCTTATTTCACTTAGCATAATGATCAACATAATTTGATGAACAAGAATAGATCAATCTAGAGACAAATGGTAGGGGAGGGAGGGTTAGAGAGCAACCAAAGGACTTGTATGCACGCATATTAGCATAACCAATGGACACAGACACTAGGGCAGTGGGGGCTTGCCGGAGGTAGGAATGGCTGGGTGGGGGGTTCAATTGGGGGAAAGGAGACATATGTAAAACTTCAGACAATAAAATTATATATATATATAATTTCCTTTCTATCTTCTAAGATTTCAGAATTTACTAAGGACAAATGGAAACCTAACTTATACTTTAGGTTAACATCATTGCTAAACACAAATGAGTGAACATTACCCATATTACCCATTTCTGATCTAACTGGATAGCCAACAAAATAATTTAACAAAAAAATGTAAAAGCAATTTAGTTGCCATCAATTTTTGTCTAGATTTAAAAGAGCATAAAATTAAATTAGAAAGGAATTTTAAAAGAATGCATCATTTCAAAACCAATAATCACGAAATTCTACTAGGAAACTGAATCATGAACAACTGTATAACAAAAAACTGTGGCTTTAATTTTTTTATGGTATAAGTAAGTTGATTTACTCTATTAAATTAATTTTAGAAAGGACTTTAAATTAAAGATCTGGAAGTAGTTCTCATATTTGCCCATTTTATTACTCATAAAAAGTAAGGGTATAATGAATAAAATTTTGCTTTCTATCCCATAACATGTTTACATGAGTATAACTGTGTCTATGTGTCTTTTCCCCAATTCAAATAAAGGTACTGTTTGATGAGCTGTTTATCCTGTGGTTTCATGTACACATTGGCACATTCCTCAAGGGCACTCATACTCCAGTCTGAGATGCAAAGCTTTAGGTTAAATACAAAAGCTTTCTAATGCATTAAAAATATTTAACAAGACAAATGTCTGCCAACTGATGAATGGATAAATAAATTTAGCTTACCCATGTAGTAGAGTATCATTTAGCAGTAAAAAGAAATGAAGTATTAATCTATGCTACAATATGGATAAAACTTGAAAACATTATGCTAGGTGAAAAGAAGCCAGACACAAAAGGTCACACATGGTATGATTCTACATCTATGAAATGTCCAGAACAGGTAAATCCATAGGCAGGAAGATGGGGGGTGGGGTAGGAAGTAACCGCTAATAGGTATGAGGTTTATTTTTACCATGACAAAATGTTCTGAAATTAGGTAATGGTGACAGCTGCACTTTGTAACTATACTAAAAACTACTGAATTATATTCTTTAAAATGGGTGAATTGTATAGTATATTAATTATATCTCAATAAAAATAAGAAAAAAGAATGTACATAAAAATATGTCAATACACATATTCTACTTCCCTAGCAATTAAAAGGAAATAAAGTATTAGATGTAATAAAGGATTAATTTACCATCAAAAAATAACATTCAGGAGGAACAATGAAAAGGAAGTTAAGAGGAACACCAAATATTTATCAGCACTGATCCGATATTTTTTTCAATCTTGGAAGGGAAATGCTACATTGCAGGTAACATTTTGTATTAAATAGAGAAAATGCTGTATTTCTTCCATTTTAAAAATACCTATTATTAAAAGGTAACAAATTAAAGTTGGCATTTCAACCAAAACATATTTAACATATTGAAGTTCACATATTCCAGTATTTTAAAAACTATCTCTAGCAAAGAATTCACAAAATTATTTGTGAAATCTTACTCTTCAGCCCTTTGCCCTACCTCTAAAATGTATTCCTATACTTTTTTCACCGCAAATCACTTCTAGGTTGTTCATAATCAACACAATTCATTCTGACTCTTAGAATAAATCCATGATTTCTTTCTATTTCTTCAATTAACTACACAGTCATCTTGATCTCCAACACATTTGTTCTTGAACTACACACTGTACCTTTAGTCATCAGGCCCACACTGTACCTTTAGTCATCAGGCAGAAATATCAAGGAATCAAAGAATTGGAGAATACCTTAAATGTTATCTTGTCCAACCTCTTCATACAAGTGAATTAAGTAATTTGCCCAAGTTTACACATATAGTTAATAGGACTGGCAAGACTGGAATTCATTTTTTTTGGGGGGGGGGCTTTACAATGGAACAAAATAATGAATTCAACCATATTATCTAATTTTATCTTTGACAATTCCATAATACCTCGTTTTGTTTACTTTTTATCCCAATTTACCATTTGTCTTTTTTACACTCATACTCTCACTGTAATCTTTTCTTCAACTTCTTCTACTCTATCCCTACATCTTATACTTCAGATACCTCTATCTTCTGTAATTCATATTGACCTTACCCAAATTGTTTCTTTGTGGACTCTCAATGGAGTCTTCACATTTTCATCAAAATGACTACACTTAAAAGACTACTGAAAAATGTTCACAAAAAAAGAATACTTTTTTGTTTTTAAAAATGTAATGCTATTAATAACAACTTTCTGAGAAAACAGTATCAGAATATAATTGATCACCTAGTACACAATTTTCCTGTATCACTTTATAAGCATCTAACTTCTTTAAAATGACTAAAGTATTTCCTTATCCAGCTTTATTAACAATTCAAATTAAAATATATTTTAGAAATCTAACTTAATATTTCCTACATGTAAGAACTGATAGTTATTTATGCAAATTGAGTTTTATATTTCCAATGGCATATTACCACTATATTCCAAGTATCCTTACCTCAACTTTCCCACAAAATTTTAATGGTTTTAAGTAGACAATAGACATATAGCTTTACTTTAATAAGTCTTAAAAAATGTGTTTTCCTAGCAAGAGAACAATATTTCATTGTAACTCTCCCCTTCTGCAATGTAGTTTTGATATTTCGTTTGTTCTGACTCTTAAAAAAGAAAGAAAAAGTACAACAAAGAAAATGCTTTACCAAAATCTTGCATAATCATGGTATGGGCCATTCTAGAGTCTGATGTGTACAATCCAAGACTGCCTCCTCCACCTGAATCCATACTTAGCAAAGTTCATTCACAAATCTCTGTAAAAGAAATGGTTTTTAAGTTTAAAAGCATGTAGGACAGTCAGTTGTTTTGAGAAAAAAAAATGCAATTGAAAACATGCCTCTCAACCAGGTGTGCATATTTCATTACAAAAGAAAACAAAACAAAAACCTTGATTAGATGCTTTATGTGACAACCATAAATTATAGAAGGGCCAAGTGGAAGTAAACCAAAGATAATGGAGAATGAGACACAGTAAGTGTGGTGAGCCATAGAGAAGTGAAAGAAGCAAGCAAAAGAACAATACTGTAGTGTTGAAGTTCCAGTTAAAATATAGGTTATAAAAGCAGAAGAAAAAGAACAGGATGACAACAGACAATAGTTGGGATATTTATACATTACTAGAGGACTCAGATGTCTAGTATTAATGAATTTCATCCAGTGGCTCTCATCCATTTCTTCCAGACCCACATCAGCCCTGCAGCGGAGCTCTGCAGATAAACGTGTTTCACCTCTGGCTCCAGGGGTTTTACTTATAATGTAAAATGTTCTATCCCAGTTTCCCGGGAGTTCTTTGGGTCAGTAAGGACTTCTGAGCTCACTCTACTACATTCTCTTGTCTCACAGTTTTGAGGACTCATGAAACATGATTGCTTCCTAAATATGGTAAAGATAAGATCAATCACATACAAAGACTTTAGCAAATTGTCTCTTACAGAATATATAGTTTACTTGCAATTGTTGGATTTTTTTCCCCATTAATGATTACTAAAGTCATTTTAGCCTCATATTAATTTTGAAAGCAAGGGATAAATACATTTCATTTCAAATGACTTATTTAAGATCACCAGATAGTATGAAACCTAAAGTCATGTGCTGTCACTCAACATATTTTTTATAACTACTTATGTGTATTTCCTCATCAAACCTAAGATTCTAAGTAAATATACCAAAAAAATCTGTAAATTTTATGTAACAATTATCTCCTTTTTAGATAGGAGTGTTTAATAAATAGGATATACTGCACAAAAGATGAGATTATATCATTAATAAACATTTTAGAAAGCTGCCATGTAAACTAACTTTATCCTTAAGTACAGGAGATCACTAAGATTTTTTCCTTGCCTTAAAGTTCTATAGATGTGGGAGAGTCTCACAGAGTAACTTCTATCAACATTTGAGTCATGCATATAAAATCCTACAACATATCAAATATTTTAGATAAAATTATTTGGTTATGTGTGAGCAAAATTACAAAGTTCTAGAAATTCTTGGCTGTATTTTATCTTTTTAAAAATACCACATTGTTTTCTGCCTTCAAAATGAAGTCAAGAGCATTCACAATAAACTGTGTGTTCAGAGGTAAGTTAAAATACCATGAGGACTTATTCTTAAAATTAAAAACATTGTACTATTTCAACTTTAATTAGAGCAATTGTTTTATTTATTACTAATAGAACAATTATAAATGTCTTTAAATGTTTTAAACACTTAATTTTGTTTAGTTATTAAATAAGATAAAACACTATAATTTGTTAATCACCTTAATATAGAGTCTTGAAGAAACTGTAGATTTTTCTTACATTGTAAAATAAAATGTGCAGCAATTTCTTTTTATTTTTCCTTCTGAACTATATTATTTTCTTTGGGGGAAAAAGTTTTCTTTACCTATTGTAAAAATACATTTAGAATTAGATATTTTAAAACATTTTAAACCAAAACGCTTACACAACTAAGAATTTTTCTTTACACTTTCAATTTGGGCTGATATGCTCAAATCTATTAATATAAAAAGCAACCATCTATTAATATAAGAAGCAACCATAGGGATTCCAACAGAAACGACTATCCATCTACTATGATATAAGCAATATTATTACACTTAGAATTCGACCACCTGATTAAAACAAAATCTTCTCTAAAGCACATTTTAAAAATCACTAGCAACTCCATATTTTGGAAAGCGAAAGAGAACCAACCAAGGGCAAGCTTTATCCTTGCCAGATCTATAGAGAAAAAGATGCACTAGCGCTTAGTGAAATGTAAAAACCTGAACACCTAATGCAACTATTATGGGAAGTGCCATGCTGTATGAATACCAAATAAATTTGAGCACATTTATTCCCATATAGGAAGTTTCAATAAGATCAATAATAAATAAGGTAGGAGAACAGCCAATAGATCCCTAGGCTTCTGAGTCTTCCCAAGAATCTATCTCGCTCCCATCTTTACTGAATGGAGGTAACCACCAAGAACGCTTTAAGTAAACATCTTTCCAGCAACGTAGGGGGAGCAGAAATCACATACACACACCAGTGTTACTCTCAGCAATCTCCTCTAAACATAGCTCATTCAGGTCCTAGCTTCTCCGTGATGTAAATTCGGTAAGGCATAGGAGAGAAATCCTAAGACGGCAAAACAAGAGAATGTGAAAGTAGTATTTGCAGGGATATGAGACAAAGGAGCCCTGGCAAGTAGCAGTATTGCAGCTTTGGACACAATCGTCTTCCCGCATAAGTCTGCCTTTCCCGAGACCATGCCAAGTTTCAATCGTTTCGAGCAGAACGCACACACGTGCCCTCATACATTACCCATCGGACTGGATCCTTAACCGAACCAGAGCACCTTCGCCACGGAAAGGCGGAGAACGAAGAGACCAGAAGACCCTTTCCCCGCCACCCTCCTTTCAGACGGTGCAGTGGTCTCCGCCGCCGCTACGCTCCCCACGCCGTGCAACCCACCCCCTCACCCTCCTCCCGCTCCCTCGGCTCCACTACATGGGAGAAGGCTGAGAACCAAAATGGTGGTGTGTTAGCAGAGGCTACACTTGCAGCACACCCCCCTCCCCCCCTTCCCGGCTCTGACGGCTCCCTATAGCCCTAAAATGCCCGATTCGGTCCCACCTCCTTGCAAACGCCGCCATCCCTCGCGAATTCCAAGGTTACCATTCGCGGCGGGCGGGGGTCGGGGGAGATGTGGGTGGGGGCGCGAGTGAAAGGAATATTGGGGGGAGGGGGAAGTAGCAGGATAAAATGCCTGGGGGACGTCGCATTCTTCACTTCACCGTTTTGTTTTCCGCCATTTTCCCGTCACCCAAAACCACCCACGGCTTTCAGGAGGGCTCTTGCCCCCAGGGGCTCTGGCCCTACGGAAAGAAAAGGTCCGCTGAGGAGACACTTCCCTCAATTCCTCCAGCCACCGCCGAGGCTGAGGAGAAGAACTGGGCGCCCGAGGGGGAGGGCAATTTAGGGACTAGACGCCACTTCCATTGTTCCCTTCGCCCTACAGTACAAGCCGTGCAAGCTCTCCTCCCCTCACAGGAGCGACACTGAGCGCAGGGGCCCCCAATCCCTCTATTTTCTCCTCAGGAGTCTCCTTACCTGCAGATGCCGCCGCCGCCAGTAAAATTCTGACCGCGCTCCGGATTTCTGAGGGGAAAGGGGGGGGGCGCAGCTGTGGATCAGGAAGGTCCTCACATTCGGGTTTCCGAGGTTCTGCAGCCGGAGCCAATCACAAGCTACTCTGCGTCTGGGAGGCGCGCGGCCTTGCCCTCCTTTATATCGCTGCCGGCTGCTGAGGTTGCATTACGTCACGCTGCCGCTGCTGCAGGGCGAGGGGCCGGAGGGGGAGCCTGCGCAGGCGCGGGAGCCCGGGAAGCTCTCGCTGGGTTTGGGCTTAGAGACCCCGCCAATCCGCTGTGGGAGCTGCAGCGCGGGGCGAGTCCGAGTCCGCAAGCCTGGATCTGGGCGAGCCCCCGAGGAGTTTCCTTGGGAAGATTTTCTGGTTTCCAGGTTTCCCAAGGGAATGAAAAGGGTAAGGGGGTGGGGGGGATTGTGGATCGGTGACTGAATGGCTGGCTACTCACTGAGCCTCCAATAGCTGTTGGACTACGTTTAAAAAAAAACACAAAAATCGCCCCCACCCTCGAGGAGGATTTGGCCAATTAGGCTGACCGGAGCGATGAGGTATGCCTCTCCCCGGTAACCGATGTGTGTTTTGAGGTTTTCATTCCTTCCTCCCTCCCTTCCTTTTCTATTCCGCACTGGTAGACAATGGGTTGAAGATAGAGTGAAGAAAGGCATAGAAGGGAAAGGTGGACAAGGGACCTAAATGAAGGGAATACTAAAATAGCTCCTAAATCTCTCACTTTGAACTGTAGCTGCACAAAATGGGAGAGCAGTGAGAAATTCAGTAGTGACTGGTGAGGAAAAAAGTGATGAGATGTGAGTAAAAGTTTGGATTTGCAGAGCCTTATACTGTATTCTGAAAATTTAGCTTTAGTACTATGAGCATTTGAAATAAATAGCGGTGTTTAAGCAGGGATAAGATAGGACCCTTTAAAAATAAAAAAGGTAACTCACTATCTTTGCCTAAATAATGTGAGTATTTTTACAAATAAAGCATGCTATTGTTCTCAGTTAGCTAGGCAATTTCTTCAGGTCTCTGAACCTAATACACCACTAAAAGTTTTAAAAAAGATAGAGACATGATGTGAAAGCCCTAGCCCAGTACCTGGCTCATAGTAGACCAGGTATCCTCAAGCTTTCTCTATGCAGGGTCAGGTAATAAATATTTTAGGCTTTGAGGGCCATAGTGTCTATGTCACAACTATTCAAATCCACAATTATGGTACAAATGCAGCCGTAAACATTATGTACACAAATGAATATGGCTGTGTTCCAGTAGAACTTTATTTAGGGACACTGACATTTAAGTTTTATGTCATTTTAGCATGTCATGAAAAATTCTTCTTGGAAGATTTTTCAACTATTTAAAAATGTAAAAACCATTCTTAGTTGTAGGCCATTAAAAAAAGGCAAAAATAAAATAAAGTGTAAACAAGAGTTTAAGAAAAACAGCTATCCAGATTTGGCCTGTGGTCTGTACTTTGCCAACTCCTATAGGTGTTAAATATTTACACTTTTACTTTTCCTCCTAGATGAAGAAAGGTATTTGTATGAGTGTATTCCTATACATGATGTGTTTCTATGTTGGATACTCTGGCAAGTCCTACTTGAAAGTTTTCCTACCAGTGACAATTCCAATAGGACATTGATGGAAGAAAGCTAAGAAAAATGGAGAGTTTTTACATTAATAACCTTTGTGAATGGTACACTGTAGTAGGTAGTTTTTAAAACCTGAAGATCATCTTTGCTCCTCTCTCTTTCTCCAAACATCTGGTCCATCAAAGTGTCTTCAGAATTCTACTTCCTTAATATCTGTGAAAGTCATCCTTCCCCCCCCCACCCATTCCTAATGTCATTACCTTGTTCAGGTTCACATCCCTTCTTACTTGGATTGTTGCAACACCTTCCTAATTAGTTTCTCTGTGTCCACTTGTTCATCAGATCCTGAAATCAGAAATCACCAAATCATAAAACTATCTCAAATCAAGCCTCCCTCCCCACTACAATTTCACTTCAGCTGAAGCCCTCAATAAATGGGACTGTGCAAAAACTTCCCGATTCATTTTTCCTTCAAGTCTCCCTTTACTCCAGTTGGTATCTTTTCTAGTGTAAAGTCTACACTACCACAGAAATCACTTACATAACAAAACAAACAAAATTGAGTATCTCACTCCTCTGCTTAAACATTGCTGTCAATTCCCATTAGAAGTCTAGGTTGATACCCAGGCAAGGACAGAAGGAGGTTTATGGGAATCCCAGTTGGCAACAATGTGGAAGATAATCCAACATATGTTGTTTAGATATTTGGTAGATATTGATTCAAAGGAGTGCATTGGATGCTACATTAAGGATGGTTGTTTGTGCTATTATTTTAAATAGTTGGTTTTTTAAATCTCCTTCAGCGTTTTTATAGTTTAATATTAACCCTAAGGCCAATAATATTAATTAGATGCCATAAACTCTTTGTAATTTGTATCTTGCTTTGTTTTGTAGCTTGCTCACTTCATTTCCCTCTACTCACTTCGGTAATCTTGGCTAACTAATAGTATTATGTTATGTACATTTAGAAACCACATATTGCCCTCTTGTCATATGTTTCTGGAGTCAAAGTTTGTTATGATATATATTTCCTTTAACCTCAAGCTTTTCTATGAAAACTCTTAGCCTTCTTACTTTAATAGTAACCTGACCATCTCCCAACGAAATAATCTAAAATAAATTGACATAAGCACATTCTGGGTCATCAGACCACCCTATAACTGAACACTACCATACATTATCAACACTTATGTTTGTATTTGTTTTTATAAGCACACTGACACCAGATAGTACAACTTTAATTGTTTTGGGTTAAATTGAAATTAAGGAGTCAGACTTTGTATGTAAATTATATTATCCTCTACCAGGTGTACTGTATATAATACAATTACTTGGTTGTTAGAATAAACTGGCCCGGGAAGTGAGTCATCCCACAGTGTATGATAAGACAAGCTGCACTCAATGTGCCATTGTGGAGTCACATTCATGTTGTGAACTGTAATTTAGTTTCAGCAAAACAATATAATGCACAACATTAAATTAATCCTGTTAATTTATTAGTTTTGTTTATTGTTTTGGTTTTATAATTGATAAGCACTGTAAGCCTAAGGCACACGTAGCTCTACTCTTGTTTATGTTTAAATAACGTTATAATAAAACAATTTAAGTCAACATTGAGAGTACAAATTTTTCCTTTTAAATTAATCTGTAACAAACAATACAAAATGATGCACAAAAGGGCTCGGAATACTATTCTACATAAAAAGTATTGGGGCTCTTATGGGGGAATAGTTAATTCCGGAGTTGAGAGAGGAAATAAATAAGATGAGATTGTTTTATTGCTCAGTCTGTGAGCAAGAAAACAGTCAGACCAATGGGATAATATCCAAAGTTCATAGAGCACTGAAAAATAATAGTAACTACAAGTAATTAATTGAAACACATTGAATATAGAAAAAAATGCTGAATTCATAAAGAATACTGAAAGAGGGGAATAGAGAAAGATCCCCCTCCCCCAATCCCAGAGAATAGTGGGTACTATTTGAAGTAAGACTAACACCTTATTCTGACAATTAGCAATTTAAAAAAAAGAACTCAGTATTTTCTGTTTTTTCATGTACAAACTATTTCAGGTCAGCCAAATAGCCCCTGTTTGATGACAGCAAGTTACTTTCACAAGAAATTCAATTATTAACTGTCAAAATATAGAAATAAACATAGAAAATGACAATTTTATAACTGCTAATAAAGTAAAAGATCAAGCAGTGATCATCAATGGGTGAAATATTAGATGTAAAACTGATGGAAGCTTGATAAAGGAGCTCACACTGTCATCACCTGACCTCTCTAATCAGTTTCTCAGCATCTTCACCAGTATTTGGTATTATTACTATTTTTTACTTCAGCTGGTCTAATAAATATGTAGTAATTTCTCATTGTGGTGTTAATTTGTATTTGTCTGATAGCTAGTTTTTTTTTAATATAGTTTATTGATTTTTTACAGAGAGGAAGGGAGAGAGTCAGAAACATCGATGAGAGAGAAACATCTACCAGCTGCCTCCTGCACATCTCCCACTGGGGATGTGCCCACAACCCAGGTACATGCCCTTGACCGGAATCGAACCTGGGACCTTTCAGTCCGCAGGCCGACGCTCTATCCACTGAGCCAAACCAGTTCTGGCTGATAGCTAGTTTTGATTAAAAAAAAATTTCATGTGTTTATTTGCCATAACCTCTTTGGTGAAGTGTCTGTTCAAGTTCTTTGCCCATCTTTTAATGTGA